CAGAGAGGTGTACACATAGAATCCAGGCTAATAATTACTAGAAAACTTGATAAGCTAGATATTAATAAACACATAGATATTTGTGTAGCTTCCACGGTGTTAAACCCACCCTCACCTCAACAATTGATAAAGCCACTGGTTGTCGTCCTCGCTTTACTTCATTCACCTCCCTCTCCATCAGACATGCGGGTAAGGTGTGTATTTCAATGATGTCGCTACCAGTGATGTTAAATGTGACTCCTAATTTCTCAATGTTTGACTTGAACGCCTCCATTATCCGAATCTCCCCCGGTGTTAATATTATTGTAACTGCTGGTATTACCCGTGATGATCTGATCTTTCGGCTGATTGGATCCTCATCATCTTTACTGTCATCATAAACATCTTAAAATAAGAGTAATGATAAGTATTGCTGCTATGAACAATGAGGAATGTGAGCATGTAGTTCACAAATTACCAGCCTTAGAGAAAATATCACAAATGTATTGCAGAAATCAAGTATCTGCATTGACAAGATGTCAGGGTCAGAAGTTGATTTCAATTAACTCGATTCTGATTGAATTTTCAGCATCTTAGATTAAATGTCGATGAAAATCGATGTGCATATGCAAGTCATTGTACATGGTCTTTGCTACATCATCAAGTCCACAGCCATGCATGCAGGACTTTTTAACCAACAAGTCAATTCAAAATTATTTGTGAAGCATTTACCATGACACCTATGTTTTAGACTTCTTCCTTCTTGATGTCTGTTGGCATTGTGTCCAAGCAAACTTTTAACATTTCATACATCCAAGGTTAGTTATCTTGAGCATGTTCCGAAGAAAGATTCAAAACATGACAGAATAAAAATTAAATTAAATTAACCGCTGCGTGGCAAGTTCCAACATGCATGATCCATGGACGTCATAACAACTAATTTCAGTTGATGGCTTAATTTACTAAGTTTAAAAGATCATACAATTTTAATTATCTCATTACTTTTGAAAATTTTGTTTAAAACTAGTTCAGTGCCAAAATATTTTCATGCAGGAACGCCATATAAATTAACCAAATAAATATTACACCAGGCGAAGAAATAAACTGATCATGAAAACGGCCATTGCGTGAAATATTACTAAAATAGAAAATATTTGCATGATGGGAGCATTCTACACTTTCAATTATTATCCTCGGCCAAATATAGTGTGTACTTTTGATATGCAAATTTTCAATGATTGAACAGACAAACAGTGCCACAATTCTTCCAAAGGGTATTGTAATGTTCCAAGAGAAATTAGATAGGCAGATAGCAGTTTGCATGATCAGTTTATTTTGGCGCCCGTTGTAAATACTGATTCAGTTGAAATATTACTCATTTAAACAAGTTGGAATATGCATTACAGTGTTTTACCTGCAGTCAGTTGTTCCAGTCGAACACGTTCATGGGCAGCGTGCTGATCTATCAACACCAGTAAATTTGGTTCATCTGTTTTATCAGTGGTCTTCACTAAACATGCAATGAACTTATCGTCCACCTGACCACACATCTGTAAAAGATGAGATGAATAATTAAACACATGTCTGACCTGAACAGTTTAGACATATGCCTTGCAGCATTGTGGTTGCATTAGTCTTAAAGAAAATTAGATAAAGATTGGATAACTGATAAACTGGACTACCAGAATGACACTGGACATCAGTTCCATTATGTACTACTAGTATTTTACAAGGACTAGGGAAATGACACACTTTCTTGTTTCAGAGGATTCTTTTGTCAATCGTAATCAACCTTTAACGCATGTATTCAGAGCATTATTAAATAAATGGTAAATGTTGATCATGTATTTTGTTGTTGCAGTATTGAATATCTTAAAACATTCATTATAATGTGATGATTAATTCTTTAAAAAATCGGTAGAAAGCTCAAAAGAAAATTATTATGCAAATTAGGTCATGGATAAATATAACTGAAAACTAATTAGATCGTTGCATTGTCGTAGAGTATTTGTGTACCAAGATTCATTGAAATAAGTACTTGAGACATTGATGGAAAAACTGAAAACTAATTATGCGAGTCAGGTAATTAATATGAACAGATTTGAGTGTAAAGCTAAAAAAAAAGGTCTGTGCAATGTAACACAGTTGAGACCATCTATGTATCAAGTTTCATTGAAATGTGATTAAAACCAAAAAAATTATGAATTATTATGCTAATTATGAAAATAATATGAACAGATTTTAATTCAAAATTAATCAGGTTTAAACATTGTCCTAGAGCAAATTGAAACTAGCAGCCTATTGGCTGAGATATCTCTGCTGTTATCCAATTAAAGAACTGAAGATATCGTCAGAAAATGAACAATATGTATACAGCAATCGGACTTGCTGTTTTCAACAAAAATTCGAAAATATAACTTGTTATCAAAAATATTCATTAAAATTAGATAATTGAAGAACAAAATCATCACAAAATGAACAAATCTGAGAGAGGTCTACCTGTAGTATCTATGTAGTATATATAATATCAAAGCAATTAGACTTGCGGTTTTTAACAAGAAGTCGAAAATATCACTTTTTACCAAAAATTACAAAACATTCATGAAAATTAGAGAATTAAAGATATCATCACGAAATGAACAAATCTGAGAGAGGTTCACATGTAGTACCTAGATATGTAATATCAAAGCAATTGGACTTGCGGTTTTTAACAAGAAGTCAAAAATATCACTTTTCACCAAAAATATTCATGAAAATTAGAGAATTGAAGATATCATCACGAAATGAACAAATCTGAGAGAGGTCCACATGTAGTATTTACATATGTAATATCTAAGCAATCAGACGGTTTTTAACAAGAAGTCGAAAATATAACTTTTTACCAAAAATTACAAAAATATTCACCAAAATTAGAGAATTAAAGATATCATCACGAAACGAACAAATCTGAGAGACGTCCACCTAAGGTACCTACATACCGAGTATCAAAGCATTTGGGGTAGCGGTTTTCAAGAAGAAGTCGAAAATAGCATTTTTGACCAAAAATGACAAAAACATTTGCTATAAATAAGACAACTGAACATATCCACACGAAATGAACAAATCTGAGAGAGAACCATCCAAGGTACCTTCCTAGAAAGTTTCACAGCTATACATTTTGTGGAAATTAAGAAGAAGTCGAAAATGTAAAGTTGAGAATGGCAACGACAGCGCCGCCGACGACGGACAATCAGTAATACGCTAAAAATTGAAAATTGATTAATTATGCAAATTAGGTTATTATTATGCACAAATATTTACCCCCAAATTAATCAGGTCTCTGCATAGTCCTAGAGGATCTATGCCCAAAGTTTCATTGAAATGTGATGATTAGTACTTGAGATAGTGGAAAAGCCGAAAACTGACTAATCATTATGCAAATAAGTAATTAATATGCACAGATTTTCATCAAAAACCGATGTATGGTTCTTGAGATATCAGTGGAACAGACAGAAACACACACACAAACAAACACACTAACTGCATTGTGTGCTCCGCACACAGGAGTCAATAAACTGACGTGCATGTCAGTTACATCACCTTGATGTTGTCCAGCATGGCCTTGGTGAATTTGTACTGGTTGATAGCTCCTCGTATTCTCACTGACTGTCTACTGACTGGCTGGTTGCTGGCATCAGAAATACAGCTTTCTGGTACTGCAAACATTGGGTTCTCCCACTCTGCAAACAATTCCGCTACATCTTTGCTTTCTGGAGGAGTGAAGTCAAAGTTACCCCGGTAACACTTGAACATTTTCAAGAACGTCTCACACTTTGAATGAGAAGTCAAATAAATGAATGAGTATTCACATATTTACCACTAATTTTGTTTGTTTTGTCATCTCTCCATTTTGAAGCCACATCTTCACTCTGTTTTACCAAGTGTTCATCCCATATGGTACCAATGGTTGACTTGTCTAACACAGCAACACCACCACCACCACCACCACCACTACCATCACCGGCATCATTACTCTGACTAATGTTAGAGTGGTCTTTCACAAGTGGCAAAAATGGTGTTGCATTATGGGATAGAAAAGGATGGACTCGATGCTGCTGATCTGACAAACAAGAAAATGTTGATAATCAGTTGATAATTTAGTAAATGTCTAGTAGAATCAGAAAAAAAAAATGTTCAAATTAGAAACAAGCAGCCTGTCGGCTGAGATAGCTCCGCTGTTAGCAATGCACATGGCAATTAAAGAACAGAAGATATCATTAGAAAATGAACAATATGCATAGTATCAATGCAATGGGACTTGCTGTTTTCAACAAGAATTCAAAAATATCACTTTTCACTAAAAATGACAAAAATAATCATCAAAATTAGATAATTGAAGATATCACCACAGAATTAACAAATCTGAAAGAGGTCCACATGTAGTACCTATATATGTAATATCAAAGCAATTGGACTTGCGGTTTTCAACAAGAAGTCGAAAGTATCACTTTTTACCAAAAATTACAAAAATATTCACCAAAATTAGAGAATTAAAGATATCATTACAAAATGAACAAATCTGAAAGAGGTCCACATTTAGTACCTATATACGTAATATCAAAGCAATTGGACTTGCGGTTTTTAACAAGAAGTTGAAAATATCACTTTTTACTAAAAATTACAAAAATATTCACCAAAATTAGAGAATTGAAGATATCATCATGAAATGAACAAATCTGAGAGAGGTCTACTCAAGGTACATATACACCAAGTATCAAAGCATTCAGGCTTGTAGTTTTCAAGAAGAAGTCGAAAAAGTAAAACATTGACACGGACGACGACGGACAATCACTCGTATGATAAGCTCCGCTCGACAAAGTCAACAGCGGAGCTAAAAAAAAGTTTGAAATTTGGCACACAGGCAGATTTTTCAAAAAACAGTGGGACACGCATGAATCAAATAGGATCTGGCAGGTTAATAATGTTTATGCCTTATTACTGGATTAATTTTAAACAGTATTTAACATCTTTTGAAGCTGTTATTTTATCATACAAGTTGGTTTCTGAAATTTGATCAACAATGTAGCCAATATTAAATTTTTCAAAATGAAAAAAATATATAAAAAAGATACATACTGGCAACAAAATTATGAAGGAAAATGCATAATATTGACAACTACCAACCAGATACTACATTACCTTAAAATACTGGTTTAATTCTTACCTGGCAATTTCATAGAGGTACATATCGTACTGCTTGTCCCCGTCTCTGACTGCTTCCTTGTCTCTGGTGGTTGTGTTTCTTCTTTACTTGGTGGTACAAGTCTTGTCAGTCCAGTCATTAGATCAACATAAATCCTTTTGCCAAGAGAAACGTCAAATTTGCTGATCCAATTATGACCCAATTCTTCTATATCACTGAAAGTAACATTGTTGTTGCAGTTTTCATTATCTATTGCAGTAGCAGAGACTTTGTGCACAGCAATGTCAGGCATCGAAACATCGTGGGGCATGGTATGTCGACTATCACCTGCATCCAAGTCATCGGCTACTGAGGAACGTTCGTCATCAACATTTGTAAAATCCTTTTTGTTTTGGTTCACACCATTACAACTATCGGTGGGGACAGAGTTGATAGGGTCTCCCTCAAACACTGGCAACAATTCTGCGGTTTCCATCTTTGGTATTACATCAATAGTAACCATGGCGTCATTCATCTGATTATCTATGTCATCCGAAAAATGATGAGGTTGTGTAGGATTCTCTTTTTCTGTCAGCAGTGTCACCGTGGATATATCCTGGATTGACTCCTCAAATTCAACACTGGATTGGATTGTGAAATTATTTTTTCCATTCTGTAGAAACAACTTGCCTTTTTCACTGATATCTGTAGGTTTTGTATCCATCAATGTATGCTTGGTGTGTGCAGTAACATCTTGAGTTGAAGTAACACTATCAGTACGTCTTTGGGGACTACTTTCATTTTTTTCTATTCCAGAAGCACCATTGTTAAATGTCTGAATGAAACTCTCTGTGGTTGCAAACTTTTTAACTGCAGGTTGTGGAAATCTCGCAACCTTAGCATATGCAACTGCATCATCACTGTACATTCGTTTCTGCGTTAATTTCTGCCTCAATTTTCTCAGATCAGGCTGGGGTGCAACTTCCTTTTTCTTCAATGTCTCTATTGTTGGTATTGTGCTCTCTGCGGAGTTTAACGATCCTGTATCTGTAGTCTCTTTCCCTGATTTACCTGCACTATAAACTTCTATTGTAGCTACAGCCTCATTCTGTAACAGACTTGCATTGCATGGCTTCTCAGGCTGTCCGAGATAGGATTCTTTTGTGTGTGATTTGGCAGCAGGGAATCTACTCCTCAAGCCATGGGAAAATGTTGCCCTCAACATCACAGGAAAGTGCTCAGAGTCCCTAGCTACTTCAGATCCAGAATATTTACTCTTGGTTTTGTCAAGTCGAGAGATATTCCTGAAAAACTTACTAATTCTCTTTGCTGAATCTGTTCTACCAGAGTTTGATACTGTTTGCTTGAACTGGTGCAAAGAGCTGGTGTGACTATAGCTGTTCAACCCTATAATGTTACAGGAACTCATTGACTTTCTTTCAGTAGCTGGTTTAAATCGAGACTCTCTCAATTTGTCGTACATCATTTTCACAGATGAAGACTTTATCTTTTTGTTGTGAGAAATGGTGTGCGGTTCCTGATAACCACAAAGTTCCTCAGCCAAGTCTGATACAAGCTGCGTTGATTTGCTGCTACTTATGATGACTTCACTATCGCCATGGCATAATTTTGTTTGCAGCGGAAACTTATCAGGTGGACCTACTACATTACATGTTTTTGTGAGTGCAGCCAAATTCGGAGACTTAGTTAGCGAGTTGATTTGATGTTGCATGCTGGTCACCGTTTTATCATCACATGATACTTCATCTGATTTGTTTGGAAAGTCTGCACTATTTTTCTTTCCATCATTGAATTTGCAGCCATGGCTTTCGTCACTTTTGATATTACTTTGCATTTCTAAAGTTTTGGCATCTCCATCACATTCAACAACCTGAGCAATGTTACTATCTGTATTACTAGTATTGCCATCGTTTGCTCCATCCTCTTCATCATCTACCTCATTATCCGCCTCATCTTCAGTTTGTTTGAATAATTCATTTAAATATTGTTTAAAAGGTCTCCTGACTATGTTGGACTGCAAGGTTGATCTCAGATTTTCTGTGGAAATATCCTTACCGTACCTGTGTGTAGCATTTCTTGCAAACATGCTTAAATTGTACTTGGGCTGATCATAATCGCCAGACAATTCTTCCTCATAGACATCGTCACTTTTTTGATTGCAAACTGTGTTGTTCTCTTCATCATTGAGCAATGCTTCCAGCTCCGTCAGATTATTTGGTATTTCTAATTTCATGGTCAAATTCTCCCTTTTCAAGAATTCAAGAATAAAATTTTCGAGACACAGTAATATTCCGTCCCAGTCTTTAAACTCGACCAATGTCTTAGAGGGTTCCAGGCAGATGTCATATTCAGACAATGGGCACTGGATATTTAGGACAAACATTGGGTGTAAATCTGAACCACGCGACGGACTGGGTATTTCACACATCCCAGTCTCTGTTGATTTGTCTGCAAAGTTGTACCGTTAAGAGTGGCTCTGCTTTTCACAATCACAGACTTTGAGAGCAGCACATTGACCACTTTATGCAGTTTTGTTTTCAAAAGTAGTCGACCATTGACATATATAAATTGTATGTTTTTATTTGTGTGACCATCCGTACCAATGTGACCAATAATTGTAAACTCATTATAAGAATATTGCATTTCTTTCATGATCCGTGCCTTCCCGACACCGAAAAGCTGACCAAAAGTACCAAGAATAGAGTCTGATTTGTGTGTTTGTAAGGTCTTAACTCCAGTATAATCATTTCTTAATGACAAAGAAACAAATGGTCTCATGAGAGCAATGCCTTCCAAACACTGACGGACTCTCTCAAACTCTAACACTGGCGACATCGTTTTCCTCCTCACGGGTAAGTTATAGAAGAAATCATGTACAGTTATAGTTGTACCCTGACTTGGCCTCGGCTTTTCTGCTTTGAAAACTTCCAGCGGTTTACCATTTTTAAATAGCTTACAGTAAGTGCAGTTGGACGATTTTGCTTTTGAGACAATCTCCAGGACCCCGGTGACATCACATATGCTTGCTAAAGCCTCGCCTCGAAAGCCATAGTAGGACAAGTTTTCTAAATCTTGAATGTTGTGACATTTGCTTGTCGCATATCTCTGCCCGATTAGTTTCATCTGCTCAACTGTAATACCAGTGCCATTGTCGATAACATGGACCTTGTAGCATGGGATGTCGACTCTGACAGCGATACAGGTAGCATTTGCATCTATACTGTTCAACACTAATTCTTCTACGCACTGAGTCAATGATGTGATAGCGATGCCCGATCTCAAACGAGATCTCACTTCATCTGATAAGGGTTGGATTGTGGATGCCATCACCTTTGATACAGGCATATCTAGAATATATTGAGATTAGAACAATGTTAAGTACCTGTTGGTGGTTTTGGTTGCAGTTATACTCCCAGAATCTGAATCCAGTCAGAATCTACATGTACTTATTTATTTCGCATTTTTTTTTAGCTACCGGTACTCTCAATTTTTTTTTTATTTTTAACAAGCTATTGAGAATGTCACAGCCCCTCTGTTCTTGTATATCAATACATGAGAAATAGAATGTCAACATATATATGCTCCTTTTTTATCAAGTGCATGTACCAGTTCTACACTTAACTAATGCCATGGACTGCCAGATAATTTAAACATGTGTGAGTCTCAAATGTCTATGCACAGGGAGTTGGACAAACTCAAGTGTATTTTAATAAATTATTAAATAATAAAATATTATATAACTTTTCTTTTACCCCCCCCCCCTTCCCCATATCGATTTCAAGTAATCACTGATCTTTGTTTATACCACTCTTTCCGCGATACGCGCTAATGTTATATGCAAATTTTAACGCGCGATGTAGACACATCCTATTATAGTAAAATATCCCAAGGGTTGAAACGCGCCAGGACTGTGGCATGAGCACAACCGTAAATCGGGTGGGCATTTAATTTATTCATGAGATGCATTAATAAACAAGAAATGCTGCGCGCGAAATTTAAATCCGGTGAGTGTAATCTCCGACGCGACGCAACTTCAATGAATCAGTGACTCTTCTGTAAAATGGTTTCTACTTGATAATACATATAATTTTCTACGGTAGTCTAAATAAAAGCGTCGCGTCATCACATAAGATTATCAAGCATAACCTTTAACCTTTAAGAACCCAATATGATTCGTGGAAAAATTGTTTACTTCTGATGTGACACAGCAATATACGAGTCATTCTTTGCGATAGAGGTCAAAGATCGCAACATCCAGTTTCCGGTTGTGCTCCTGCCATGTCGCTCGATCTCAATAAGTTTTAATTTGACAAATATTCAAGTGCAAATGCAATTGTATCACTTTCTAATGCCATCCACGTCATTACAGATGCCATATATGTAAAGAAAACGAACTTTGAAGGTTCGAATGCGTGATTTTATACCACAGTCCTGGCGCATTTCAACCCTTGGGATATTTTACTATAATAGGGTGTGTCTACATCGCGCGTTAAAATTTGCATATAACATTAGCGCGGAAAGAGTGGTATAAACAAAGATCAGTGATTACTTGAAATCGATACCAGGAAGGGGGAGGGGGGTAAAGAAAAGTTATATAACATTATATTATTTAATAATTTATTAAATACACAAGTTTGTCCACCTCCATGTGGTCTATGTTGGCAAAATGTAAACATATACTAGTATCACAATTCCAAATTACAGTGCATTGTGGGATAGTTATGTCAGTTATTGCAGGAGCAGACAAGTTTTATGACTAGAAGAGTTGTATTTGATCCAACAATACATTATGACTTGGAATTGTGATATGGTCTATGGCTGCCGGTCAAAAGTTTATTGTGACACAAATCAACTGTTGCTGGAACACGACTGTCTGTGCACCAAGTTTGGACCAAATTGAACTGCGTGAATTAGAGATACAAGCCAAATGTGCAAAAAAAAAGCCATATTGCATAGAATCTTGACGAAAAATCAATTTGCATCTTTGTGAAATAATATTCTGCCTCTACTCTTTGTTATATTACTAAGTTATAGGACAGAAAACAAAAATAAGTATTTTGGATGAACAAAATTGCCACCAGTCGGCAAATTTTGAAAAAATTTGAAAAATAATGAATGTGCCTCAGTATGACAACATGTGCGTTCGGGCCAAACGTTAATTATTCATTAATGGAGTCAATTTGTATACTTTTCTTGATTTATAGGTAAGGCTTTGGCGAAATTTGAAAGAGCAACTAATATTCTTCAACCTGGTATTTTTTATAGATTTTATTTTTCATTCTGTTTGTCTGTTTTTTCCAGTTTAAAAAATATGAGCTCGCTGGAGCCTTCATCCCTTGTCTATTTCTTACACAAGTTCCCAGCCGATACCCCCCCCCCCCCCCCCCTGCTCATAGGGAGTGCGTATAGTTGTTCATAGTTGCTGGGCTCCCTGTGGTGAAACATGCTCACTCGAAATGAGATTAGGGAATCCTTGTTGTTAGCGGTGCGCAACTTTTTTTCTCGAAACAGATGAGTAGCATTTTAAAATCGAGAGGTAATATTTTTACATACACGTGTCTAGAACTTTTTGTTTACACTTTCCTTTTTTCAATTTTTTAAATATAGCAGTAGTGTATTTCAATCTGATTAAAATAAGATCCTAGTTTGGGCTTTTTTTTTTAAATAATATCAATTATATTTTTTTCATATACATGTATTCAATTATTTTATTTTTTTTTAATTTATTTGCTGGTATTCTTTTTTAAGCCCACCTTTCGCGATTACCAAAACTTTAAAAAAATAGGAGCAGATAAATCTTTTTTAAAAATAAATTTTAATAGATTATATGAAAAAAAATATGAATGATATTATTTTAACAAAGGAAAAAAAAAGCCCAAACTAGGATCTTATTTTAATCAGATTGTAGTGTATTTATTTCCATAAAATGTTTTGCAGTGTCAACAAATTTGTTTCGTACACAGTCAGCATTATCATCAGCTAATTGTCTGAAAATTCGAATACTGCCGTGTTACAAGAAATGTAGCCAGTGGATCGTTGTCAGATTCGGATGCAACATTGCAATATTATTTATCTGATTAAGATCATAGACTCTAAAAAAGGGTCTAATGGTCAGGTGTAACATGGAGGTCTATTTTTACCTCCATGGGTGTACGAATTCGTGACCACAGACTGTAAAGGACTAACTGACTTTTACAGTCACCGACATACACCATTGCAGAAAGCGTATTTGTTTGTAAATATTATTAGACACCATCGATGGTACCAAATCAAATGGCGAGTGCTATGTTATTTGTCATTAGAACTTACGAGAATCATTGTTAGGTTGGTGATTCCATTCGTATCATGTTCAATCCACCGAATTTTCTCTATAAACACGGCATACACAACGCACATCCATTGTCGTGTGATTTTGTGTTATCTACTTCACAACAGGGCACAAGTTCAATTGTGTACAAGCAAAACCGAAGACGTACTCGCGTGCCACCATGTTTTCAAGCGTTTTAAAAAGACAGCCCTCGCGTGAAAAGTTGAAATAACGCGTCATTTCCAGTGGACCTTTACATCTATTTACAGGAAGTTAGGGTCACCAGAAGAGGGTAAGCTGAATTCGAAGACTGTATATCAGCGCCATAGACGATTTAAGTGTATAACTCATTATATAAATCCATGATGTATTTCTCCTGTAAATTTAATATAAGTTAGACTTTGCAACCCAAATCGCCAAACAAGTTTAATACACATAGATTACACTCAAGATGTAATTGCCTCGCCCGAACGTTTGTTTATAGCTGTTGGTTAGCAACAGTCACTGTAGCCTTTCGGCATATTAATCCGCAGATACTCAACATATATCAAAACAATACGTTAACAATTTTCCAAAGAATTATATGTATATGTATGTGATCGTATCTCAATGCGTGCATAATTGTATATTAATATATTCGTATAATTAGTCAGTAAATGGTTTAAATTTGAACTATTTTCGCTTAGCGGAGGAACACAAAATTCAATATCAATGCGTTGTTTGGCTTGTGGATCGAACGAACCACACCGGTTTGTGTATGGGATATGCTAAAGAAAACATAATCCTGAGATACGTCATTGGGTTTTTAGAGTAGTGGAGCTGACAATAAGTAGCAGGTGAAGCGTTGGGAGATAGCCGACTCTCAGAACATTGGATTTTTATCCGTATCGAGAGTTGAAATCGTCGTTCATTTCGAACACAGAACTCCCTCCCGGAAGTGGACGAGCGGTGTTCTTGCCGTCACAGCACCCGAGCTCTGCTAACAGGGCCGAAGGTATGTCTGCTTCTAAACTGTTGAGTATATTGAAGTAGCGTGAGTCAATCGGTAGCTCACTGGGTGAGTATCAGATGTGTTTTTGTCCTGTTTACCGTGTTACACACAAGAAAGTCAGCCCGATCAGTGTAGCTATTCACAAAGTGTTCAAAAATGGAATTCCGAAACGGAATATAAGTATTCTGAATGAACGACTCGTCGACGGTCTCTCACAGGAACCCCTTTCGCAATGTCTGAACAAATGTGTTTACCAGTCAATGGAAGAAAAACAACATATTGACTGTCAATACTTCAATGTTTAAAGTGCGTTTTGGGTCTCCGTTCTCAGATCGGTTTTCATTCTTTCGTTTATTCTTCTTTATTGCTGATAGGTTTTATTACGAGCAAGATTAACACTCCCGTTACATATGGCCCAGTTGCAATCACGTTCGGAAATTCCACCGTCATTCAAGTCTTACAACATGTACTACGACAATCACGAATCTCCACCGTCCCGCATTCCACAGTTGAAAAACAACTATGGAAGTGGACACCGAGCTGGCAAACCACCGCCGTCCAAACTTGAAATGCTGCAAAGCGACTATCAGAAAAAACTGTTGCGTGAAAAAGAGGCTAAGATGATCGAGCTGTACCAACGGAACCAGGAAAATGCGATTAGGAAAGTGTCGGGTAACAATAAAAATCGAGGCATTGTCAGGGACTTTTTTCAGGAGAGACGTGCCATGCAGAAACAGTCGAGTTCGGAGGATCTGCCGACTATGGCAGCTCACTTTAAACAGAAGAAACTTGCCCGCGACAGACTGCTTCATGTAGATAAGCCAAGGAGACCAAGTGCTGGAGTCACCAGGGTTAAACCACTGGCACCAATTGAGCGCCAGAAAGGATATGCCGTCCCCGTACGAAATGGCTACAATCACCGTCAACACAATGGGTTGGAGTACAACTCGGATGAAAGCGACAAGTTACCAACACCGCCAATATCTCGGAAACCCAGGCTGGTTAGGCATCATCGTGTGAAACAGTCGCCTGATGCCACTTTTTACGATGACGCTACCCCGTACAGTGACGAGGACGCCCCTCCAAGTAAGAACAATTTAAAACATTTACATGAAAAGAAAAAGAAAGAACAGCAGTGGAACGGCAAGAGAGAGAAATTGAGCGATTTTCAGCGATGGCAAATGAACCAAGATGCGGAGAGACAGAAACGATTAGATAAATTGAAAAGAAAGCCACAACCCCCACTGTCTGACGACGAAGAGGACGAAAACTTGAATGAGAATTTTCTGGCTCCAGTAACACCCAGTAATCCTAAATCACCCTCCCACACATTGCTGCTGAACAAGAAAATCAAGGAAAAAGAAATGGAGTTACAAAGGATGATAGACGAACAGCAAAAAGAACTTAACCAGTTAAAACAAAATGAAGAAAGGGAAGAAGAAGAAAGAAAGCGAATGCAGGAGCAACGTCTTCGAGAAGAACGTAGGCGCAGGGAAATTAAAGAGCAGGTGAGATTGGAAACAGAGAGGTTGGAAAGGGAGGACAGTTATAACAATGACTTTCACGATGATTACAGTATCCAGGAATCTTACAGGGAGTCTGAACCAGAGCCAGAGCCTACACCAGAACCTAAATACTTCCCCAAATCCAAAGAATCGAAACCTAAATCAGTTCATAGACATCCACCTCCTCCACAGCCAGAACCGGAGGAAAGGAACGATTACTTTGGCAACAGCGCAGATGAAAACAATATATATGCTAATACGATTGACGAAGAGACAAGTGTGAGCCTCGATTTAAGGAGATGCAATACTTGTGGACGGAAGTTCGCTTCGGATAGATTGGATAAACATGCCAAAGTGTGTCTAATGAAATCATCAAAGAAACGTAAAGTGTTTGACCCCGTTAAGTTACGCACTGAAGGCACCCCGATGGCCCATTACATACGACAAGGAAAACATTTGAAGCCAACTCCAAAGGTATGTATTAAAAGTGTGTATTCTTTCACGACGGGGATAATCCACAATATCCCGTAATTTACTGACACAGTTTAGTACGCACATACTTTATCCTGATAAACAATCTCCTCGATTCATACTCGAACCATTGACATTGAAACAACAAATAATTGACGTCAAATCGTTACTGACATATCTCCATAGCGTCGCTAAAATACTGTGCAATCCGCAGCTGGCCAAGGAAATTCGATAAAATATTCATGCGGTTCCGATTTCACTCGAAATGGCGACTGAAATAGAACCCATAATACGAATCAAATGAGTCGTGCAGTCTTGTTTTATCTTTATCTTTATTGATCATTTCACCGCAACAAACTCATGCAGGTATATCATATTGGAAATTGCTCAGTTTGAGCCGAGACTCTCTAATTAAAAATAAACGTGCAAAAAACGTGCGCGTAAATTCCAATGAAACTTTGACGTCTTTCAAAAAAACGACGTCTGTCAAGGTTTTGTTACATTCAGGTATGATAAATAAACTGTTGTGTGTGTGTCTCTTTTCGTAAGCTCGGGGTCGTTTCATTCATGAGTACAAAGTGACTGTGTATCCACCTGGCAAGCAGCACGCATGATACGTACTTTAGACGTCCGCTATACACACATGGTATTACTGAGTATATAATACATTGTACTATTTATTAACAGCTGTGAAAAAAGAATCAGAGTGGTCGACTGAAATCGATAAGTGACGTATATACTCATGTGGATAGTTGAAATGGTACATGTTATCTCTGGGGGGATTTACGTGTGGCTGTTTAAATTGCCGACGTCACGTTTAACAACAACAATGCTGTTTTTCCTTTTTATCTTGCAGGCGAAAGGCAGAGGTGGCAACTGGAGAGCGAAACACGAAGAGTTTGTGCGTTCCATCCGAGATGCGCGCAAGATGCAAGCGCATATTGCATCAGGCGGTAAAGTATCCGACCTGCCCCCGCCAGCTCCAAGCAGCAATCCGGACTACGAACAATGCCCGTACTGCCAGAGGCGATTTAATCCCGATGTAGCAGTCAGACATATTCCTAAATGCAAAGACATCAAAAATAGGCCCAAACCACCTGCCAAACGGAGATAACCGCTCACTGACAATGGACATGACTCGCGTTTGTATTGGAGAAATTGAATTATTTTTCGAAAGACGTTAGTGTGCTATTTTCGCCAATAAGGCATTTAGCGTCTTAAAATGGTGTGCTTTTATAGCTCTCAAATCAACGAAAGCGTTTTACCAGTATATCTCTATTCGTAAATTATAAATGAGTAAATTTTAGTCATTTACAATACTTATGCATTGACCATGACGTCATAAGCCGAAAGGCTTCTGTTTTGGTGATTACATAATGTTGCTTCTTTGAAAACATGTAATATGTGCGTGTTTTACTCTCCAATCAAAGTAATTGGTACAAAAGTAATCATTTTTCAATAACGCTGATTGGTTTAAGTGTATGCCGCGTGCACGTAGCGATTGTACGTTATATTGCTTGCTAAATTGTATCGCCACATGGTGAAATTTACAACAAATACATGTAATATTAATTCTTGGAACCCTGGTACTGTCGGTTTCATTCACTACGTGCCTCAGCACACACTGGCTCCCGTACGATGTATTTGTTTCTTTCGTTGTTGCGCGTGTTCGACCAGAAGCCAGGGCAGTGGGCCACGTGAAACTGACAGTAACAGAAATAGATTTAATGCCAATCCGTGTACTGTTCATCGATCCCATGTTCCTGTTACATGCTAGTTATGTTTTCGTGAACGTAAATCGTGCACATGTAATTTTTCATTTTGATCACGTAGACAGTCGCATCCGTCCATGATGCGTGCGAAATATCTTGCCTCCAAAAATATTGCCAACAATCACTGAACGTTCAATCATGCTCGTCGTACCTATCCTTTTTCTGTTGTGAAGCTCGTATTTATTTATTTAGCACAACTGTACGCGACAGTGTACGTTAAACTTAATCACGTTTGTAACAACTGTATTTCAACGTATCTGGGTTGAACTCTAAGAATAAAAACAAATACATTTGTAGTTTTTAACATTGTGTGTCTTCTAAATAGAATACATATTTGTATATATGGTATGGTGTGTCTATGACACCAATATTGGCGGTGAATATGTGCTGGCAACCATAGCGACGGGAATATAACGATTTACCAGTTATGATAATTGTAGTGTTATGAGTTGATGTAATTATGCCTGCTCACAAAACGGAAGTTCGTCATCGGTTGAAAATACTTTTTTTATTTTTTATTCCTTGTTATTTGTACTTCTCAAATAACAAATGACGATCACGTGACGTACCGCAATGTTGCCTCCGTGACAACAACTGTATTGCCGTCTATTATCGGCACTATTTTTTCACGAAGAAGGATCTGGCAGTACAAACTCACTCGAGCGGAAAGAGCTAGTAACCCGAAGTTACTGTCGTTGACAACAGGTATACGTATCATTTGGCTACGTTTACAATCAGAAAACACCTACGAAAGCAGAATACGATCAGCCCACGGGCGTTCAGATATGTACGTGGATACGATGCCCTGTCCAACTTAATCCAGTATTGTAATGGTCGGAATCCCCCAGGCTCACTTAAAGTACGCTTTATTTCATTTCAATTTGAGTCAGTCGGTATACTGAAATATACAATAGGGTATTGTCCAGTTTATTTGTATATGTGCGTTTCGCCAAGCCCGCAGAAGGCCACTGAAAAGATAAAAGCAATTAATACACAATAAGTTAGTATGATTGAAAATGATTAATAAGGAGATTGTTACTTGTGACACGTCCTGGTTACTGCGTGTCAATCGCAAATATAAATAAATATCTCTTGTGTCTTAGGTTGACATTTGAGCGTTGAAGGAAAGCTACCAAGTCCATACTACCTGGAGTATATTTGTATACAGCATTCACAACTGTGGATGTGGTGGTCACATGCACTTGACATTGAAAGGGCGGTGGTCATCACGCCGCGTCTCGTTCGATATGAGACCCATGGCGTCAATAACGACGCACACAACGCGTGTAAAAATACATTGTTTGTTAACAAGAGCGACAAAAATGCAACTTTTCTTTAACATTGTGCTCTATGGAATTGTTCTAAAACAGCGAATTTTGATTTTTGACCAACTTTCTCAAAAATTATGAGTAGGATTCTTGTTATTTAATTCGGCATTCTATTCCGATACCGTGTTTGTGCCATAACCATAGTTACCTGATACAGTAATCCAACATTGAATTAGATTTTTATTACTAACAAGTCACTGAGAATGTCACAAGCCCATTTTGCTTTTTATTGAATTGTTTTATTTAATTGAAGGGTCAGCATTTATATGTTCTATTTTGTACAATACATACTGCTCCGTGTGTCTTGGATGGCGAAACAACCCAACGTTCAAGTGCCTATCGTATATGTGCCAAGTGTTAACTAAATTGTAACACGCAAAAAACGAGGTGAACATTTACTGTATTCGTCATCTAAAATGGCGGCCGTCTGTGTTTAAGAAAACAAATGGTTGTGCCTTTGAAATGTAGAATTGTGTAAAAAAAAATAGACATGTGATCATATTAGCAGAGTAGTCATGTGACCATATTAACAGTATAGATATGTGACCATATTAGCTGTATAGACATGAGATCATATTAGCAGAGTAGTCATGTGATCATATTAACAGTTTAGACATATGCCCATATTAACAGTATAGACATGTGACCATATTAACAGTATGAACATGTGGCCTTTATTAACAGTTTAGATATGTGGCCATATTAGCTGTATAGACAATAGACTATATTAGCAGAGTAGTCATGTGACCATATTAACAGTGAAGACATGTGGCCATATATTAACGGTAAAGATATGTGGCCATATTAACAGTAAAGGCATGTGACCATATTAACAGTATAGATATGTGACCATATCCAGGATGGATATGTGACCATATTAGCTGTGTAGACATGTGATCATATTAGCAGAGTAGTCATGTGACCATATTAACAGTTTAGACATATGGCCATATTAACAGTAAATATATGTGGCCATATTAACAGAAAATATGTGTGGCCATATTAACAGTGTAGGCATGTGACCATATTAGCTGTATATACATGTGATCATATTAGTAGAGTAGTCATGTGACCATATTAACAGTGAAGACATGTGGCCATATATTAACGGTAAAGATATGTGGCCATATTAACAGTAAAGGCATGTGACCATATTAACAGTATAGATATGTGACCATATCCAGGATGGATATGTGACCATATTAGCTGTGTAGACATGTGATCATATTAGCAGAGTAGTCATGTGACCATATTAAAAGTTTAGACATATGGCCATATTAACAGTAAAGATATGTGGCCATATTAACAGAAAATATGTGTGGCCACATTAACAGTGTAGGCATGTGACCATATTAGCTGTATATACATGTGATCATATTAGTAGAGTAGTCATGTGACCATATTAACAGTTTAGACATGTGACCATATTAACAGTATGGGTATGTGACCATATTAGCTGTATAGATATGTGATCATATCAGCAGAGTAGTCATGTGATCATATTAACAGTGAAAACATATGGCCATATTAACAGTAAATATATGTGGCCATATTAACAGTAAAGATATGTGGCCATATTAACAGCATGGTCATGTGGTCATATTAACAGTGTAGACATGTGGCCATATTAATAATTTTGATATGTGACTATATTAACAGTATAAACATGTGATCATATTAGCAAAGTAGTCATGTGACCATATCAACAGTATGGACATGTGGCCATATTCAGAGTTTAGATATGTGGCCATATTGGCTGTGTAGACATGTGATCATATTAGTAGAGTAGTCATGTGACCATATTGACAATTTAGATATGTGGCCATATTAGCTGTGTAGACATGTGACTATATTAGTAGAGTAGTCATGTGACCATATTAACAGTATAGACATGTGGCCATATTAGCAGTTTAGATATGTGACTATATTAGTCATATGACCATATTAACAGTAAAGACGTGTGGCCATATTAACAGGTTAGATATGTGGCCATATTAGCTGTATAAACATGTGACTATATTAGCATAGTTGTCATGTGACCATATTAACAGTATAGACATATGGCCATATTAACAGTAAAGACATGTGACCATATTAACAGTATAGACGTGTGGCCATATTAATAGTTTAGATATGTGGCCATATTAGCTGTATAGACATGTGACTATATTAGCAGAGTCGTTACGTGACCATATTAACAGTAAAGACATGTGGCCATATTAACAGTATGGATATGTGATCATATTAGTAGAGTAGTCATGCGACCATATTAACAGTTTAGACATATGGCCATATTACCAGTAAAGACATGTGACCATATTAACAGTAAAGACATGTGGCCATATTAACAGTATAGATATGTGGCCATATTAGCTGTGTTGACATGTGATCATATTAGTGGAGTAGTCATATGACCATATTAACAGTTTAGACATATGGCCATATTAACAGTAAAGACATGTGACCATATTAACCATATTAGCCGTATATGGTATCCCGCTTTACCCACAATCCTTTGCCGGAGAATCAAGATGGCGGACTACATAATACCATGGTTACTAGAAACCGTGATAATACTGATGAAAAGGTAAATATCTAAAAAAATGATTAATACTATAAAAACGCTGTCAATTACATTCTTCTACATTTGTGGAGCTCTTTCACCAGGAAGCATTATGTTGTTTGCCTTGACCTCCCCTCAAATGACAGTTACACATTGTCTGGAGTGCAGTGACATAGGCTGTTCTAAATTATGTCTGATTCACACGCGAGTGTTTGTGGAATGCAGGAAGATGCAATCATTTCGTTTAAATTTTCATGAGACTGAATTCAAATGAAAACTGTTGGGTTTATAAATTTTAACACGTATATTTACATGCCTGTTAATGTATTACGTAATGAGATGTATAATACGGTTGATAATAATGTTATTGAAAATGTTGTAACTCGACAACATTTTCTCAGACTGTTGGATCAAAGCGAAAAGTGAAACGTCTCCTCCACACAGTTAACACAGTGGCTGCAGGACGGGGGACAGAGGGGGCAATCGGAAAAAATGTTAGCAATGTGTCAGCAAAATTTGCCCTTCAAAATGCAGGAAATAGCGTATCAGAGGGTCTAAATTTCAAAATATTAAAGGAGAGCATGCCCCGGACCCCCAGAAAGGTCGCACCTTTGGCGCGAGGGATGGTGAGCAGATCTCGCCCCTCAATGCAAGATTTCGTCTGTAATACGGAAATATATCATGATGGTTAAACGATACGCATTAATGAATCATGTTGTCAGTTTAGATGTGGTCAATGTGATAATTAGGGGGCACGATCTTTTCATCGAAATTAGGTTCCTCAGCTCCTTTCGAGATATGTCTTGTTAAACAGGAAGGCACAAACAAAGTTCGGACTGAAAGAGATAATGAAATACGTCAGTAGTGAATGCATTAAAAAGAAGAAGAAATGGGTGCAATGCACTATTCTATGTTATGATCGATGACATTTATTATTGTGTCAAAACATCGACTTTTGTACAGCTATAATATTCAGAAAGTTGACACAATTGCGACGTACAGTTATTGCCTGTCTTTGTCCGTCTTTGAAAAGCCACTCAAATGGGAACAATGAATGGTATAAATTGATGTAATAGTAGCTGTAGTAGTCTATACAGAGTACTGTACCGGTCAGTACCACCCGAGGAGCCCTTGTTGGAAACCATTGGGGTCAACGCATTGTGACAAATACGTGATACAACGCTGTGTGGTTACGCGAATTTGCAAGTCACTTAGGAACAGC